AGGAGCACCCAATTGTTTCAGGCTTTGGGAGGTGGGGCAAACCCCCTATGTGGGTCTTTGAGAAGCACAAGTATTCTGCAGCTGACAAGCCCCACCACCCACAGGTCCACTCACACACAGTCGACACAGTCCTGCCCCGTGTGTTTGCCCTGACTTCCTGAAGTGGACCTAGTCTCTCCACAGCGGGAGCCCCACACACTCCAGCACTGCCCCACTCTCTCCACCTGCTCCTTGTGCACACCCTGCCCCACTGAAGTGGGCTCAGTCACCAGGCTGCAGAAAATCCAGTCACCAATCTATGCAGGCCCACAAGTCGCCTGAGGGCTTGATGTTGGGTGGGGCCATTCCCTAGGGTGGGCTGCCTGCCCTGGCCAAGCTGGATTAAATAGGTGCTCTAGTGGATGGGGCAGACCCTTGGCTAGCAGGCCCCAGGGAAAACTCCAATGGCATCTGTCAGCACGCCCACACCAGGCCACAACAATGGCCCCCGCCAATGTCCCAGTCCCTGGAGGGGTCTCACCTCTCACCAAGATGCACTCAGGGCCTATCAGGTGAGTCTCTTTTCACCAAAGCACTGTGCACCTTTCTTTCTGGTGATTTTTGGTTGCTTTCTGAAATGGGTGAGTTTGGTCCTGTAAGAGCCATTTTAACTTCTTTGTGAACCAGCTTTTCTGGGGTTACTCCCCAATGGTTTAGTAGCAGGCAAAGTCAGATATTATGCCACTCGTCATGATTGTGCTGAGTCCACAAAATGCCTACAACAGGGGCACTCCTGGCTCAGGGCCTTGCTCCTCCAGGGAGGCTGCGTACCTGTGGGCTGCTCCTGGGCAGCCATGAAGCTGGCAGCTTGTGAAGGTTGCGTTTTTTTCTCTCCAGAAGGGAGTTTCTGCCTCTTCCACCTCAATTAGGATTGTCCTTTGTTGCAGAAGTTCCTCTTATCCAGTTTTTGGTTCTCTCAGGGGTAATATTTCCATAAGTAGTTGTAAATTGTCTGTGTCAGCGGGAGGAGGTGAGTTCAGAGCCCGCTTACGCCACCATCTTGACTTCTCTCCAAGTCATTTCTCTCTTCTTGCATTTTATTATAATCAGGCAGGAGGAGCCAAGCCACACCTTCAATTTCCTTGCTCACAAATTCTACTTTCCACAAAACACTAGACCACAATTCTGCCAAGCTCTTTGCCACTTTATAAGAACTACGTTTCTTCCAGTTTCCAATAACATGTTCCTCATTTCCGTATGAGATCTCACCTGAATGGCCTTTACCATGCATATTTCTACCAACATTCTGTTCACAATTATTTATTCTCTTAGGATTGAAGTTTTCTCTTTAGTTCTCCTCTTTTCTTTCCGTGATCTCACCTGAACCACCCTTAACATCCATATTTTTTGGATGCATTTCAAGCCTGTATACATTATTTAATTCCACAGCCTCTTCCATATTTTTATACATTTGTAACATCAGCATCCACTTCTGGTACCACTTTGTGTCTTATTCAGTTCAGGCTGCTATAACACGGTACCATAAACTAGGTGGTTTATAAACAGAATTTGATTTCTGACAACTCTGGAGGCTGAAGTCTGACATCACGGTGCCAGTATGGTCAGTTTCTGATGAGAACCCTCTTCTGGATTGAAGGCTGCTGTCTTTTTCCTTCCTCACATGGCAGAAGAGGGTGAGAGAGCTCTCTGGGGTCCCTTTTATAAGGGCACTAATTCCATTCAGGAGGGCTCCACCCTCATGACCTAATTACCTCGAAGAGGCCCACCTCCTAATACCATCACATTGGGGCTTAGAATGTCAACACATGAATTTCAAGAACCCACCTTCAGTCCACTGCAAGGCCCAAATGGTTTCACTGAAGAATTCTACCAAACACTTAAAGAATAATTAACACCAATTCTATACTACCTTTTCCAGAAATTAAAAGGAGACAACACTTCCAAACTCATTTTTACAAAGCCAGCATCATTCTGTTATCAAAACGAGACAAAGGCAACAGAATAAAAGAAAACTATAGATTGGTATCCCTTATGAACAGAAACGAAAACCCTCAACAAAATATTAGCAAATCATAGCAAATACAGCAATTCTTTTAAAGTATACACTACAAAAAAATGGGAGTTTATTCCAGTAATGTAAGGCTTGATCAATATTTGAAAATCTATGAAGGTAAGCCATATTTACAGAGGAAAAAGAAAAATCACATTATATCAATTGGTGCATAATTCAAATAGAATTTCAAGTAAATATAAAGGGTTCCATGACAGTGTTTCCAGGTAGCAAAGGGTTCTCAAAGTTACAAAAGGCCTGAGAGGAAAAAAAAAAATCAAATACATGGTGCTGTTTTGAAAATGTGGCCTCAGGGTAAAAATGAAGCCAACTTTTATCCTTTTTGTGAAACAGCAGGGCTGCTAAGAATTTTAAAGTCATTTTTCCACAGCAGCCTCATAGGGAACTCAATGCACAGAAGAGCCTGTTGATCTTTTGTCTAATTGAGTGAACCCTAATAAAAGTCATCAAAAACACAGTTTTTAAGAGAACTGTACCACTTGAAGCACTGCAAGCTTGAACTTAAAGAGACAGAAACAGTACAAAGTGAAATAGGACCTATGGATCCCAAAACATCTACAGGCTAAAAAGAGCGTGAGAAAATTACTCAGCTGAAAACATGGGCTACCCTTTAGGAAGAAAAAACCCAGCATGACTCAGGGTAGAAGCAAGAAGTCTTCAGTATGCAAACACACTACTTGGGAGCAGAAATACACTTAAATTGGGTTCTGTATTTTCTAATGATGCAATCCACTGAACATCACAGTTTCCCCAACACAGCAGAGAAATGCTGTGAGAACTTGAGATACATTATTCTTTTTTTTACAACTTAAGTCTTCAAAACTCATATTTTATACCAACACCATTTTAATTTCAAGTGGCCACACTTCAATTCTCAATAATAGCTCAATTCTGAGAGGTCAACATGTTGTTAGCAACGATCTTATTAGACAACCCAGGTCTATTCCATTAACTTCCACATTTAGTTGTAATAACTGTTTTTACTCCTTCTTTAAACATATTAAGTACAATGAACCAGGCACTATAACAGATCTTGCAATAGGTGAACTAGATAAAATCTGGACCCTCAATCTTAATTTCCAAAGTACATTATAGCACCTGTAATATCCCAATGTGTAAGCTTTGGCAAAAGCCACAAGTTTTGATATGTAGCCATTTTAAAAGATCACTTGGTTCAAACTGGATATAATTTTCAGTTAATTTTACCTTTAAAAGAACATTAGGGAGAACTTCAAATATATAAAAGTAGAGAAAAAAGCAAAAACAAAATAAACAAAAACTATGTACCCAAGATCGATCTTACCATCATTTCAACCTTAAGTAATCCATCCTCACTTTTCTTTTGCATGAACATTTTAAACGAAATTCCAGATATCATATCATCTTATGTGTATAAACATAATTTATCTCTGACATTTTTACATACCTGCAATGCTATTATCACACCTAACAAAAACATAATTTCTTTTTTAAAGTTTTATTGAGGTAACATTGGTTTATAACATTATATAAATTTCAGGTGTACACATTTTCGACTTCTGTATAAATAACATCGTGTTCACCACTAAAAATCTAGTTGCCATCCATCACTATACACATGTGCCCCTTTACCCCTTTTGCCCACCCCCACCCTCTTCCCCTCTGGTAACCACCAATCTGTTCTCCACATCTATGTGTGTTAATTGTCTTTCTCTGACTTATTTTGCTTAACATAATACCCTCAAGGTCCATCCATGTTGTTGCAAATAGCAAGACTTCACCTTTTTTATGGCTGAGTAGTATTCCATTATGTGTATACATATATATATATATACACACACACACACACCATATCTTCTTTATCCACTCCTCCATCGATGAGCATTTAGGTTACTTCCAAGTCTTGGCTATTGTAAATAATGCTGCAACAAACATAGGGGTGCAGGTATCTTTTTGAATTAGTCAAAAACATAATTTATTATCTAATACTGTCAATATTCTCATTTCTAAAAAAAAAAAAAGTCTTTTTTACATTTGTTCAACTTGTGATCTATGTAACAACCACTCACTCATTGCATCTGATTGATACGTCTCTTAAGACTCTTAATATCTAAGAGTTCCACCTCACTTTTTTCAAAGCCGTTTTTTGGTTGAGAAGCAGGATCATTCCTCATAGAATTACCCATATTTTAGATTTATTTGCTTCTTCTTGTGTCATGTAATTTGTCCTTCTGTCCCCTGAATTTTCTCTAAACTGGAAGTTAGATCTTGATGCTTAATTAGATTCAGGTTCAATATTTTTTGCAAAATGTGTATACCATTGTATCTCATTAGGAGGCACAAAATGTTTTGTCCTATTTTTGATGAGGTTAAAATTGATCCGTGAGTTGAGATGTTGTCAACCTTATCTATTCACTGTGAAGGTCATATCAGCCTTTCATCTCATGGTCTTAACCTCTACTGAGAATCATGCCTACATCCATTATTTTATTACACACTGCAAAATTCTCTAATAAAGAATTTTACACCTCATCAACCTCTAGTTGCCCTGAAATACAGTTCATACAGGAAATGCAAGCTAAATGTCTTTTCTTTCCTTTTATGTATCAATTTTCAGAATGAGTTAGTGCCCTGGCAAGCTTCATAGGTAAACCATAGACAGAAGAATAGAGGTGATAACAGGTAAGATCAAAAGCTTCTCCACATTCACTCCTTTAAGAGTTTCTTTCTAGATGAATTTCCTAAAATTTTGTTTGAATGGTGATGAAAAGCTTCTACATATTCATTACATTACCATATTCTTTCTTTAAAAAAAAAAAAACCTCATGTTAAATTAATTGTGAGCACACAGCGAAAGAGATTCCTACATTAAAAAATTTTTCCTCTAAAATTTATTTGATAATGCTCCTTAACACAAAATTCACAATGGAAGGCTTTCTTATTTAGTTACATTATGAACTCGCTGATGATAAGTAAGATGTGAATGTTGTCTAAATGCCTTCTTACATTCCTTACACGTGTATGGTTTCTCACCAGAATGAATTCTCTGATGCTGAATAAGTGATGAATGAAGTCTAAAGGCCTTCCCACATTCCTTACAGTCATAAGGTTTCTCACCAGTATGAATACTCTGATGTTGAGTAAGTTGAGAGAACAGTCTAAAACTCTTCTCACATTCCTTACACTTATAAGGTTTCTCACCAAAATGAATACTCTGATGTTGGGTGAGTTGTGAGAACAATCTAAAGGCCTTCCCACATTCCTTACAATCATAGGGTTTCTCTCCAATATGAATACCCTTATGTGAAATAAGTTCTGAGTAACGCCGAAAGAACTTCTGACATTCCTTACATTCATAAGGTTTCTCACCAGTATGAATTCTCTGATGGAGAGTCAGATGATAGCCACGACTAAAGGTCTTCCCACATTCCTTACAATCATAGGGTTTCTCACCAGTATGAATTCTCTGATGGAGAGTAAGTTGTTGCCGCACTCTAAAGGCCTTCCCACATTCCTTACATTCATAGGGTTTTTCACCAGTATGAAGTTTGTGATGTACTCTAAGGCCTGTACTACACAGAAAAGTCTGCCCACATTCCTTACATTCATAGCATTTCTCAGCAATATTAAGTCTCTGATGTCGAGTAAGGTGTGCATACTGTCTAAAGGTCTTCCCACATTCCTTACATTCATAGGGTTTCTCGCCAGTATGAATCCTTTGATGGAGATTAAGTTGTCCTCGCACTCTAAAGGCCTTCCCACATTCCTTACATCCATAGGGCTTCTCACCTACATGACTTCTCTGATGTACTCGAAGATCTGCGCCACACGTAAAGATCTTTCCACATTTTTTACATTCAAGGAGTTTGTCAGAAGTATGAATTCTCTGATGTCGACTAAGGTGGGCACACTGCCTAAACGCTTTTCCACATTCTTTACATTCATATGGTTTCTCACCAGTATGAATTCTCTGATGGAAAGTAAGTTGTTGGCGTACTCTAAAAGCCTTCCCACAGTCCCCACATTCATGGGGTTTCTCTTTATTATGAATTCTCTGATATAGAGTAAGAGATGTAAGTTTTCTGTAAGTAGGCATTTTTTCAGAGGTGGTTTTTTTCACTTGCCTGAAATATCCCTTTTGAGGACCATCTTGTCCCTCAAACTTTTTATATTCACAATCCTTTCTGAAAAAGGAGTCTTTAAGGCCACAACTTCTAATTCTTTCCATTATATCCCACTGAGATAAATTCATTTCACACATTTGAGTGTCATATCTGGATTCCAAATCTGAAAGAAAACAAAATAAACACATGCTATTTTCTTACTGTATAAAAAGTAAACAATCAACTTTATAATAGGAAAAAAACCACAATAGAATATAAAGCCCAGTTGAAGAAAATGGGCTAAACAATGCTAATAAAATAATCATGTAATTTCAAGAAAGCTAAGGAGGATAAGAAAACGATGAGTTAAGACCAGATTATTTGGCTGCAGATCAAAGTTTGAGAATCTCTACTTAAATTTTTTTAATGATTTCTCTTTTCAGTCAGAATAAAGTACAAACACCTTACCATGAATAACATGGCCTTTGTTTACCATAAGTTATCATCTCAAGCCACTGTCCCCTTTTCTCCCTATATCCCTCACACTTTCCTCTTTCGGCTCCTAGAATATGTCACAATCTTTCCATTTCTTAGAGCTTTTCGCTATTAAATCTCCCAGGAATGCTCACTTGGGTTTTCCACATGGTTGGATTCTTCATCCTTTAGGTATCATGTTAAATATCAGAAAAACTATCAGAAATAACATCTGATTTATATCCTTTATTTTCTATCCTAGTAACTTGTTCCTTGCTTAACACTTTTTTCAATTTTGTTGTTATGTATTCATTAATTTTCCCAGCTTTTATTCTCTTTATTTTCTTACCTTAAATCTCCCCAAGGGAAGAAAGGCTCTTTCACTTATCACTGAATAACAAACCCATAGCACATAGTAACTGTTATTAAATTCTCATAATTAGTTAACAGGTATTGCATATGCTGCCTTGCCTCCAATCTTATACCTTACTACACTGAATACTCTTTTTCATCACTTCCTATAGAGATAGGAAACAAAAGCATATCTAAGCTATCTCAGTCAACCATATAAATGAAAAATGGTGATTTCTTTACATCTGATCATCCTTCCAATTGCCTATTTTTACTTGCGGATGTCTCCATTACAGCACATTTTCTACTTTGCATAGTCAGGAGTAAAGTTTGTCTATTTTCACAACTAAGGTAATGACCGGTTCTACTTATTTATTTTCATTTGAGTTTATATAACTATACACATCTGTGTTACAAATACTCAACCTCTTTTGTTCCTTCATACTCTTTCTTATATTCTCCCTAAAATCCTCATAGCTGATGTCATTGGGGTACTTCCTAGAGAGTATTTTAGTAACTTTACAGGCGTAGCAACAGGTTTATACCATAGTAACATTCTAATAAAATTCTGAGCAGAATGAGATGTTTTTCTCAAATGTATATTTTGTCAAAATTTTTGCAATAAGAGTTCAATACTTTTCAAAAAGAAAAAGGTATTTTTAAAAACCTATAACACAGCAACATTATTTTTAATATGCCCAAACTGGAAAGAATACAAGTGTTCATCAACAGAAGAATGGCTAAGTAAATTATGATATATTGATACAACACAATACTGCCTAGCAATGAAAATGAATAATCTACAAGTACATGCAACAATGTGGATCAATTTCACAAACATAATGGTGAGTAAACAAAGCCAGACACATAGGAACATATACTGTACGATTCCCTCTTTATAAAGCTTGAAAACAGTAAAACCAATCTATCTAGTTGTTAAAAACCAGGATAGTGGTTAACTTTGGTGCGGAGGAATGACTGGAAGGGTTAGGAGGGAGCTTCTGATAACCTAGTAAAGCTGTATTTCTGAATCTGTGTGATTAGATGGGTGTGATCACTTTTTGAAAATTCTGTGAGCTGCATACTTGTGATTTCTGTATTTTTTTATGTTTTTATATTTCAGTAAGTTTACTTTAAAAAGGATATACCAAAAAGACATTAAAAGGCAACAATGAGGGCCAGCCCTGATGGCCTAATGGTTAAAGGTCAGCTTGCTCCACTTTGGCAGCTGCAGTTCGGTTCCCAGACACAGAACCACACCACTCGTCTGTCAGCAGACATGCTGTGGTGGTGGCTCAAATAGAAGAGCTAGAAGGACTTACAACTAGAATATACAACTATGTACTGGGGCCTTGCGGAGGCAAAAAAAAGGTAACAATGATTTAAACAGTGTGGGTAAAATGCAAGCAGAGACAGGTAAATGAATGGCATAGAAAATACCGCTAAGAAATCTGTGCATGTCTTCCTCCCTCTCTCCCTGTCTGTCTGTCTGTCTCTATCTCCTCACCCAAGAAAGCAATACAAAACTATGGCAATTTTGTAAGAATTTTTGGGAAAAAGTCAATTTAAGGCCTCATTAAGAAAAATCAAGATATAAATCATCTATAAAGGTATGACAAATGTTATAAGATGGTAATTTCAAGGAGTTACTTGCAAATTAAAAATTAAAAACCAGTAATATAAAAGGAAAGTCATAGTCAAAAATCAAAATAAAATGCCAAAACATTTGTAAGAAAAATGAGAAAGCGTTCAAAGCATAAAAGCCCATACACATTGGCATAAGAAACATTAAACAATGGGAAAAGTAATGGAATAAAGGAAACAAGCAGACAACGCACAAAATAAATATAAGAGTAAACAAACGGGACAAAATGTCCATTATTCCGCCATCAAAAACCAAGGAGAACAAGTTCCAAAACTTATTCTATAAAATTTGAAGCTTTTCATTAAAAAACAAACAAAACATTCCCAGTGTGGATACAGTGAACCTGAGACTCTCCTATATGGCCCCCACTTAAGTGACATGCCAGATTAAGACCTTGGCATGTTAAACATTCTCATCTAGGCTACTCTGTAGTATAAAGAGCGGAGCTGTAATCTTATGATTTCTGTAAACAAAAAGCCAGCCATGTTTGTTCCCAAATTTGTTTATGCCAGTTCTTATCCCTGCAAGTAACTAAAAGACAACCACTTCTATGAAAACTAAATTGAATGTTTTAGAAGTACTGGCTATAGATGCACATTGCACTGTTGGCAAGATAGCATGGGTGAGAAAATAGTAGATTGATGGGAAACGTAAAAATTCAAGGATTCTGCACTCAGATTGCTTCCCAAGTATCTCTGGTTGTTGTTCTACTTTAAATAAGTTGACACTGGAAATAACAGCCAATGCAATATATGTGCAATTTAATCAAGAAAGAATTTGCTGGACCTACACTGAAACAGAAGGCCAAACTAAACATCAAAAGATTGGCCTATGGTAGGAAATTTTAATATTTCAACTTTTAAGATATAGGTAAAATATTTAACTATTTAAAATTAATAAACCAAATACTAGTTTGGATTCTACTGAATAAAAAGGCTTTATTCTAGTAAACAATGCCAATGTGAAAGCAAAATATTAGCCCATTTTAGATCAATATAAAACGAGAAATGTTATTTCCATTTGCAAAGTATCAGCTTTAATTAAAAAGAAAATGAGCAAATTACCTGTCATAAAATTAAATTTATTTCCTAAGGTATGATGTCTTTAATCATCTTTTTTTGCCAATACCAGATGATATGGGATACAGAATATGACAGAGGCAGTTTTAGTCACATTAACACCAGGGGTAATGCCTTAAGAGATCTGTAAATGTTAAAGCCCTGTGACCACAGAACTCTACTTCTGAGAATCAATACTGATCAAATACTGAATAATCCATACTGAATTCCAATGAAATACTGAATAATCCTCATATTCTGCTGATAATCTTACTGCCTATTTAACCAAGAGATCAGAAGCAATTGAAAGAAAAATATGTATTCTCCCCTTCACCCTATTATTCAACCAACCTGTGTCCATATCCTTATCACATGCATGGTTTTCCTTCATAAATTGGCTCCTACTCCTTCCCATCTACTGAAAGTCATTGTTTACAAAATTATCCTCTCTCTACTCCATCAATTTTCCTTTCTTTGAAATCATTCCCTTCAGCCTATAAACATGTTCTAATATCTCACACTTAAAACACAACGTCTGTACCCCATGCATCTGCTTTTACGGAAAAATTCCTCCAAAGAGTTGTGTGTACTTATTTTCACCACTGCTTCAACTTTCACTTTCTTTCTTTTATTTCCCAACAACCTTAAAACAAAACAAAACTTTCTTACAAAGCATTTCTAACATACACAAAAACAGAACAGTATAATAAATGTCCATATTTCTATGACCTGGCCTCAACAACCATCAACCTATGCCTAATGCTGGCCTATGCACACTCCAATCCACTCTCCGCACATTATTTGAAGCAAATCTCATGTACTATATTATTTTGTCTACTTATTTCAGGATTTATCTCTAAAGGATTTTTAAAAAACATAATCATAATACCATTATCCAAACCTAAAAAAATGAAAATTATTTAAGATCACCAAAAATCAGTGATCACATTTCCAACTGTCTCATACATAAAATCTTAAACAATTTAAAAACGGCAACTGATCCAAAGTCCATGGAGTACAGCCAGTTGACTTGTCTCTTACATCTCTTTTAATCTATAGGTTCTCCTGCTTTTAATTTCCCTTGCAATTTATTTGTTGAAGAAGCTGTTTTTGACCCTGTAACATTTCCCATATTCTGAATTTTCCTAACTATGTTCCCAAGGTGTAGTAGAAGATATTCCTCTATCTTCTTCCCATAAAATGGTAGTTGGCTTTAGAAGCTTGATCTTAGCACTAATTTTGTTGACAAAGTTACTTCACAGGTGATATTGTATCCTTTCATTAGAAGAAAGAGATTGTCTGACTGTCTCCGTTCCTGTGATGCTATCAGCATTGATGCTCAGTGTCTAAATCCAACAGTTCATTATGGGTTCAGTTCATTATGGGTTCCAAAATGGTAATACTCTAATTCTATCATTCTTCATTTATTCACTGAATAAATGTTTATTTTATTAAGAAAAATCATTCCTTCTACCACCTATTGGTACAGTTCTTATAAGGACTGTATAAGGCAGGATCAATGTTTATGTTGTCGAAATAAGTTAGTCTGCTAGTAGTTTCCAACGGTGAACAATCTGCTATCAGTATCACTAAGAATTTATGAAATTAAGCATATTTTATGTGTTGCAATACATTGCAGTTATGTGTATAGATGCTCAAATGGTTCCATCTTTGACCAGTTTGAGCCTTTTCCAACTGCTTCCTCTTCCCTGACTACCCTATCTAAAATTACCCCATTCACCCATCATAGTCTCCATATTCTTACCCTACTCACTCTTCTTCATAATACTCAACCATCCCTGACATTTGGTAGTCCACTTGTTTTATTTGTTTGTTATTGTATGACTTCTCTACTACAACGTGAACTCCACGAAAAGAGGGCAATGAAGAAATATATACATAAAAGCCAAACATAGGGGGCAGCCCTGTGGCGTAACGTAGCAGTAAAGTACATGCGCTCCACTGCTGGCAGCCTAGGTTCGGATCCCAGGCGCACGCCGAGGCACCACTTGTCAGGCCATGCTGTGGCGGCGTCCCACATAAAGTGGAGAAAGATGGGCACAGAGTTAACTCAGGGCCAGTCTTCCTCAGCAAAAAGAAGAGGATTGGCATGGATGTTAGCTCAAGGCTGATCTTCCTCACAAAAAAAAAAAAAAGTCAACATATAAAAGATGAGCTAGAAGAGAATTAGATCCAAAATACAGATAAAATGGTTGTCATTAGGGAAGAATGCTTTCCTTCACTGAAATGAGAGGGAAATATGAGAGTGAAGAAACAAGTGATAAGGTAAGTGGAAGTATAGAGGAAATTTCTTCGGTGGCTCATGCTGAGATCTAAGTTTTCTTCCTAGTCTTTAGGTCTTTTCTTCATAATCAACTTCTATTGGGTGTGTTTCCTTCCCAACCAGCAGGGCGGCACCATGCCATAACAGTTTACTTCCACCTGACTGGCACTTACTCACCTAGATTCCATCTTCTCTTCTCACCCCTCACAACCATCCAGGGTTCTTTCCCTTGCTCTAATAGGGTAATCACATCTGGCTTAGAAATGGACCATCCTGCTTGAAAAAACATAATGGAACATAATAAAGAAAGAATCTACTCGATTAAGCCTTCAGGACAAAGAATAATGGGATTGAAAAACATTCATATCAGAATTACTTTAGGATCACAAGGAAGAATAAGAATAGAGAGGTAGAAACATCATCTTATTTTAATTTAAACTCATACAGGCTCTGTCTCTTGAGAGGAGGTAATGATTGAGAGCACTGGTTTCAAAAGATGCCTCTGTCACTTGGGTCACTAAGGCCTCAGTTTTCTCAGTTGTAAAAACGGGATTATAATAATGTCTATCCATAGGATTGTTGTGAGGTTTGACTTAACAAATGTAAAGTGCTCAGATGAGTGCCTAGTACCTAGTAAGCACTATATATGTTTATTAGGTACTATTTTTTTGCTGTTTTTCTAAGAGGAAAATACTTAGTTTCTCACCAGGATAGTCATCCAATTTTAAATGCAAAGTTCATGGATTTTAAACTTTTAATCATAAATCAATTAAAAGATTAATATGTCTGTTTAGTAAACTGAATGTGCTTACTTGAGTTTTAATGAACTGTTGATTCAACCCAGTATCATACACGTTGTATAAGTTTGTATGTAGAGCTAGACACCTTGCTCTTCCTACTCATAATGCAGATGAGTTGACAGATGGGAGACCATCTATAGCAGTATGAAACCAGGTTTCTCTGACAATGGTTTTGCTATGATTGTCTAAGAATTTACATCCAGCTGTCATTCAAGAGAAGCGATTACAGAAAAGGCAAAGGAAGATGTAAAAGTCACTGAATTATGGGGGAAACTGCAGGTGTTATTTAATAGCTTAAAAGCTGAGAATGTCTATTCCCAAACTACAAAGCAGATATTCAGCTAGTTTTTAGAAAGACAGTCCTGAAATTCAGTCCTGTGAATTTCTAAATTATTTGACACAGATAAGCTTACCCAGTGACACCAAGTTGTTATAGTTCTCTAATATCACATCTCTGTACAAATTCCTCTGATACGAGTTCAGGCATTCCCACTCTTCCTGAGAAAAGTCTACAGCTACATCTCTGAACATCACCAAATCCTGAAATGACAAACCCATCTATTATTTGTGAAATTATTTATTTCTGTAAAGGGTCAATATTTTAGGCTTTGCATGCCATATATGGTCTCTGTTGCATATCCTTCCCCTTTCTCTTCTTTTTTTAAACAATTCTTTCAAAACGTTATTAGCTCATAGACTAAACAACAACAGGCAATGGGTCAAATCTAGCTCACAAGCTGTAGTTTGCCCACCACTGCTACAGACAAAACTTCCTATGTACTGTGGGATACCTAATTTTATTTATTTCCAGATACACTCAGGTGATTAATCAGAATTTCACAATTAACTGAAACAGTGTTCATAAGAACATTGCTTGCAATGAGCATAAAAAAAATCCTTAATAAATGTGATTTACTCTAACCTCTTTTTCTTTAAGGATTAGAAAAAAATAATTGATAGAATTCCTCCCCCAAAATGAACCATAAAATCTCTATTTTTAAAAAATAGAGTTTGCATAAAATTAAAGAATTTCTTCCAGACCCAACTTCATCATTATGTTGTATCATTAGCATTATTCCTTATTATAACAAATCCTTTTATTTAATATTTTTAATTTACTACACAATAGTCCATTTTATAGATATGTTAGACCTAATAATGATTATACTTAGATATTTCTAAATATATTATTTTAATTATATTAAATTATATTTAATGTATATTTTAAATATATTAAATTTAATATTAATTTTTATTAATATATTTTAAAATATATCAAATTATATTTAGAATTTAGGTTACACAAAATCTCTCAAGCTGCAATGTCCAAAACGCTAGCTTAGACACGCAGTTAGTGAGCACCTGAATTGTGGCTAATCCAAATTTAGATGTACTCTAAGTTTAAATTTACACACCAGATATTGAAGACTTTAGAAAGAAGAAAGAATGTAAAATATCCCAATTTTTATATTGATACCACTTTTAAATGATAATATTTTGGCTATACTGGGTTAAATAAAACATTAAAATTAATTGCAGGGTTTTTTTTAATGTGACTGCTAAGAAGATGAAGATTATGTATGTGCCTTGCCTATTATTCTATACTTTTTATGAGACTGACATGCTGCCTACTATGCTAAGAAAGCACTAATTCAATACTTTTAATATGTGACTACCAGAAAATTTAAAACTACATATGGGGCTGTCATTACAATTCTTTTGCACAGTGCTGCTCTAATGTGTTCTCCAGTCCTGAGAGCCTCAGATCGACTATCTCCCTCTACGGACTTCATTCATTTCTGCTTTATTTCTGCTCTAGACAAAGCCTGAACACACAGGAGACACTGAATAATTTGGTCAATTCACACATGGAGAAGAGAGGGGCACATAGGACGGGCCCAGGATGCCTGGCTCCATCCCTCACTAGAATGGGAGAGACTGGAGAGCAGCTCAGATGGGGCTCTGTTAGGAAGTTTCAGGATAACTAATGAGAATGTTCACATAACCCGAAAAAAATTATAGCATTTCAAATAGAGAGAAACACCAACTTACATGAGCCATAATTTTAGAGCTGCAAGAATTGGTCAGTTTTCCTCGAGTCATTTACTGGAGAAGCAGAGTCCACAGAAGCCAGAGCTGGGGGAAGAATGTGAAGCCATGAGAATAAAACTGCCTCAGAGCTCCCAAATTTTAAAAACTCACACTACTTCTCCATTCCTACATGCAACACCCCTCCACCCCACAACACAAAGACTAGTTATGAGAGGTAAGAGGTAGTTCAGACAAATATGCCTTCCCCCAAAGCACAGGGAAATCAGTTGTAGAAGGATGGACACAGAGCAGAGACTCTCCTGCATGGAAGCACATGTCCAGACACATTAGCAGGAGGGCTTCCAGTCAGTCCCCCACCCCAGGGAGGCTGATCTGAACCTGCAAATGGGCTGTCCAGACCTGTCCTGAGCAGATCCATCTCCCTCCATTCCCCCTGTCACAGAAGCGGCCACACCATCTAAACCAAAACTTCCTTCTAAAACTCAGGAATCTGCCCAGGCTCCCTAAATCTGAAGACAGAAAATAGTATAGGGAAGAATTTCCCAAACCTTGCTGCACATCAGAGTCACCTGCAGATCTTTAAAATATACTGATGGCTGGCTCCCATCCCACAAACATTCTGATTTAATTAGTATAGCCTGTGATCTCAGAATAGGAATTTTTAAAACCTCCTCAGATTTTATAAAACCTCCCCCAGGTGATCACAATGGGCAACAAAGTTTGGTAATCCAACTCTATATGCATCAGAAATCACCTGGAGGGCTTATTAAAACAGTTTGCAGGGTTCCACTCCTAGAGTTTGGCATTTAGTAGACTTGGGGTTGGGCTTGAGAATCTGCACTTCTAAAAAGTTCCCAAGTGATACTCATGCTGCTGGTCCAAATGCCCCACTGTGAGAACCACTTGTATAGACCATGCCTAGCAGTCTTTATACAAAACCATACTTGCACACTAGGATCCCTTCCCCCAGGCTGAACTACCATTCCCAGAGCCGTCAGAGCTCACCATTCACCATTTTCCTGTTCAGAATCATCAGTATTACCTGCATGTCTCATTTACCAACACATCACTCTTGGTACCCAGGTTGGGGAAAAGAGAATTTGTGAAACCCGAGCATGGATAATTCTCTACAAAGTAGAAATAACTCACTAGTTAAAACTCTGTAGTAACTAAGGAGTTGCATATTAAAGGAACTAGATTAGCAGATTTGAAAAATTGATGATACCTCATATTACTAAGGTTGTGGGGAAATGGACACTCATAGTATGATGTAGAAAAAATGAAAAGATGTGTGGAAAGTGTTTATAATGGAACTAAAAAAGCCAGAAAAAAAAACTGAAGATCCTTTGACAAAGTTAAATAAATTACTGCACATTCACACAATGGAAAACTAAACATCTACTAAAACAGAAGGTAAAATTCTTATCTGATGTCATGGAAAGATGATCACTATATATTGTTGGGAGAAGAGGATAGGTTAGAAAATAGTACTGTAGTATGATTGTATTTGTGGCAGGAAAACTACATACATACGCATACATGTATATGCATGTGTCTAAAATAGTCTGTGTATGGACTTGGAATAAAATTTTATTCTGTTACCTCTACTTGATGGCATCCCAGGTGATCTTTATTTTGTTCTCTGCATTCTCTTAATTTTTTAATTAAAAATTTAAAAATCTGTATCAATTAATTTGATACACCACATTAACAAAATGAGGAATAAAAACCACATGATCATCTCAGAAGATGCAGAGAAAGCATCTGACAGGATCCAACACCCATTTATGATAAAAACTCTCAATAAAACGGGTATGGAAGGAAAGTACCTCAACATAATAAAGACCATACATGACAAACCCACAGCCAACATCATACTCAACAGGGAAAAACTGAAAGCCATCCCTCTGAGAACAGGAACAAGACAAGGGTGCCCACTCTCGCCACTCTTATTCAACATAGTACCAGAGGTTTTGGCCAGAGCAATAGGTAAGAAAAAGGAATAAAAGGAATCCAAACAGGCAATGAAAAAGTGCAACTCTCCCTGTTTGCAGATGACATGATTTTATATATAGAAAACCCTAAAGAATCCATCAGAAAACTATTAGAAATAATCAACAACTACAGCAAAGTTTCAGGGTACAAAATCAACTTACAAAAATCAATTGCATTGCTATACTCTAATAACGAACTAACAGATAACTCAGGAATACGATCCCATTTACAATAGCAACAAAACGAATAATATATCTAGGAATATATTTAACCAAGGAGATGAAAGACCTACACAGTGAAAACTATAAGACATTATTGAAAGAAATCGAGGATGACATAAAGAAATGGAAAGACAACCCATGCACATGGATTGGGAGAATAAACATAGTTAAAATGTCCACACTACCTAAAGCAATCTACAAATTCAATGCAATCCCAATCAGAACCCCAATGACATTCTTCACAGAAATAGAACAAAGAATACTAAAATTCATATGGGGCAACAAAAGACCCCAAAGAGTTAAAGGAATCCTGAGAAAAAAGAACAAAGCTGGAGGCATCACAATCCCTGACTTCAAAATATACTACAAAGCTATAATAATTAAAACAGCATGGTACTGGTACAGAAACAGACACACAGATCAATGGAATAGAACTGAAAGCCCAGAAATAAAACCACACATCGACAGACAGCTAATCTTTGACGAAGGAGCTAAGAACATACAATGAAGAAAGGAAAGCCTCTTCAATAAATGGTGTTGGGAAAACTGGACAGCCACATGCAAAAGAATGAAAGTAGACGATAATCTTCCGCTATACAAAAAATTAACTCAAAATGGATCAAAGACTTGAAAGTAAGACCTGAAATCATAAAACTCCTAGAAGAAAACACAGGCAGTACACTCTTTGACATCAGTCTTACAAGGATCTTTTCAAATACAATGTCTACTCGGACAAGGGAAACAAAAGAAAAAATAAACAAGTGGGACTTCATCAGACTAAAGAGCTTCTGCAAGGCAAAGGAAACTGTGAACAAAATGAAAAGACAACCCACCAACTGGGAGAAAATATTTGCAAATCATAAATCCGACAAAGGGTTAATCTCTAAAATACATAAAGAACTCACACAACTCAACAACAAAACAACAAACAACCCAATCAAAAAAGGAGCAGAGGATATGAACAGACATTTTTCCAAAGAAAATATACAGATGGCCAACAGGCACATGAAAAGATGTTCAACGTCACTAATCATCAGAGAAACGCAAATCAAAACTACACTAAGACATCACCTTACACCTGTTAGAATGCCTATAATCACCAAGACAAAAAATGACAAACGGTTGGAGAGGATGTGGAGAAGAGGGAACCCTCATACACTGCTGGTGGGAATGCAAACTGGTGCGGCTACTGTGGAAACCAGTACGGAGATTTCTCAAAAAATTAAATACAGAAATACCATATGCTCCAGCTATCCTACTACTGGGTATTTATCCAAAGAACTTGAAATCAACAATTCAAAGAAACTTATGCACCCCTATGTTCACTGCAGCATTATTCACATTAGCCAAGAAGTGGAAGCAACCCAAGTGCCCATCGACTGATGACTGAATAAAGAAGATGTGGTATATATATACAGTGGAATACTACTTAGCCATAAAAAGAGACAAAATTGTTGCATTTGCAACAACATAGATGGACCTTGAGGGTATTGTGGTAAGCAAAATAAACCAGACAGAGAAAGACAAACACCGCATGATTTCACTAATATGTGGAAGATAAACTAACACATGGACAAAGAAAACAGATTAGTGCTTACCAGAGGGGAAGAGGGTTGGGGGGTGGGCATAAGGGGTAAAGCGGCACATTTACATGGTGACTGACAAATAATAATGTACAACTGAAATTTCACAATGTTATAAACTATTATGACCTTAATAAAATTTTTTTAAAAAACTAAAAATTTGTATCACTTATACCTGGACATAAATTCAAAACAGTTCTGCAAGGAGTATCGCAAAAAGCCCCAACAATTCCATCCCTGCTACCCTTTCCCCCATCTTCCAAATCTAGATGCAACAATTTTCACCTCCTTTTGCTATTTCTTTTGGTATTTAAACTCCATACATTTAAATAACATACTAACATTGCTAGTTCTGAATTTTTAGTTTCATTATCTATTGACTTTCTACTACCAAAGGAATAGTTTTAGCTATCTTTTACCCATTCATCTCCCCCCTCACATATGCATAGTTGCATTCTCCCTATCCTTCCAATATGATTTTGTTCTACTTCAGGATCAATGAATATTCAATTTCTGTTACTATGACTATGTAAATACCATTACCAACTGAGCTACGTGGTATACTGAGATTATTTCGCCTTCCTTGCACAAGTTGTCTTCTTCTCTGAGGTTAAAATAATTTTGCTTTTTGTAAGCTTAGTTTTCTAGGAAATTATCACTAATTCATTTCTCAAACTCTCACTCAAATGAAGGATCAGGAAGATGAAGCTTCTGGCATAAAAGAGCAGAGCTATTTATTTCATACTCCAAGAATCCTCCAGAAATTCAGCCCAATACTTCCAAGTGTCACCTTTACCCCACCTGGCAAAAGTCAATGCTGTATTCCTAAATATTCCTATCTCTGAAATCCCACAAGACCCTGAAGTGAAAAGTTGGTTAAGGAATAGGACCTAGAAAGCCTGTCGAAGGAATTGCTTAGGCAGTTTTGAACATCACTGCCCAATAACTATTTCTTAAATAATTTATAAAACATCCATAAAATGGAATACTAAAGTAATCATTAAATACTAAGTTTTGGAAAACAGTTAAAGAATGGAAAATATTCAAGATATACTGAAAGAGAAAAAAATCAAAGTTTACAAAACATGTAATATGATTAGATTTTTAAAATCACAAAGTGAAACAGACATCAATAGATGGTAATAAATCTCAATATTTCAATTCTGAGATTTTTAAACTAATTTTAAATTATAATTAAGTCTCTCAATTTAATTGCCATCTCTATCTTAAGAATTATAAATACTTGGAAGATTTCTCAAACCAGAAGGGGATCATTGGGACTTCATTTTTCTCCATACATCCATGAAGGTATTATAAAATCCATGAGAGCACTGAATTCCTCTTTTAAAATAAGAACTAGAGATCTTGGTTTCTTTTAAATT